CTGGATGGTGTCTTCCTTGGAGAATCTTCCGGAAATCCTCTCAGACAAGAAACTGCCGATAGCGCGACGATTTGTGTCTTCATTAAAGAGACAGACCTCCTTTTTACATCTTGCACAGGTAGATACGTTGTACAGAAACATCAATAAATCTTGCTTTTGGTCATTTTTTTATATAAAAGTGCAACTATAATGGACTGATATCTTTTCAGATTGCAAGACCTGCACTTTTTGACCAGAATGTAGTAACTTCTATGGTGAATGATATTGATAAGGTGGATCTGAACAGTATTGGTTCTCAAGCACTCCTTTCAGTTACAAATGACCAAGATTCAGACTCCTACTCTGAATGTGAGTTACTGATGGCTTTTTTTAATCTCATATGCTGAGCCTCAAACTATATTAATGATTTCTTGATCTTATCTGCTAGATGACTCAATTTCAGTCTTTCAAGAGTTGAAAGACCTCCTGAGGAAAAACGCCACAGTAGAGTCTTTCATTGAATGGCTGGACTCGGTGGTTGAGCAGAAAGTTATTAAGGTTTGTCGCATTTCAAACTCACAGTATTCAGGCTAGCCATGACTGTTAATGTGAAATTGCATATTATCTGTCTTCTAGCCCAGCAAACAAAATGGTCGGTCAGTGAAGAAGCGAGCTCAAGATTTCCTTCTGAAGTGGAGTTTTTTTGGAGCACGAGTGATGCACAATCTCACCCTAAACAACGCTAGTAGCTTTGGTAAACCTTTAGCATGCATTCATATAAAATTGCAGTCACTGATTCAGTTGCTTTCAAATCTGTACTATTCGTTCAGGCTCTTTAGCTGAGGATCCACTGCAGAGAATGAGCCATAAAAGCCTGTACAAACAAAGCTTTATCTCGTGTCACGTGTGTGCACCCTGATTAGGGAGCGACCTTTCTCAGTGCTCCTAACATTTGATGACCCTACAGGTGTTCACAAAGCCAAACAGTATCACCTGGAAGGCCACACATTTGACCTCAGCAAAAGCTCGGTGAAACCCGTGGGAAACTCTGGTTGTGCTCATTGCATTGTGGGATTTAGTAGCCTACTCAGCATAGTGTGTTTTATTTTTTTTTGTATAATCAGTGATCCTGGAATACTGTACCATGAACTGCAAAAACAGGACAAGTAATGTGCTATTCTGAACAAAGCCAGAGTTTGTGTGCTGTTGAGTGGAGCTGCTTTTAATCAGAGATCAGATACCTTTGATCATTATGGTTATTAAGATTTAGGGAGTGATTTTTGCAACATATACTAAAACAGTTCAACCTGGTTTAATGTTATTTACAGGCTCGTTCCATCTCATTCGGATGCTTTTGGATGAGTACATCCTGTTAGCCATTGAAACACAATTCAACAACGACAAAGAGCAAGATCTTC